GCACCAGCACTGGATGCTGCGGCACCAGCACTGGATGCTGCGGCACCCCGCTCATTTCAGAGTGGCAGGCAGCAAAGGACTGATTTCTTCCAACTCTCTGCTACCTGTCTACCAACAGTTCTCTATTTATGTCAATACATTACCTCAATACCATGAGCTTTAATTTTCATTACTAATCTCTTGTGTGGAACCTTGTCAAAAGCCTTTTGGAAGTCCAGATACACAACATTTATTGATTCACCATTGTCTACTCCACTGATCACATCCTCAAAATTCCAGAAGATTTGTAAAGCATGATATCCCTTTAGTGAATCCATGCTGACTAGGACCAAATCTGTCACCACTTTCCAAATGCTCAGTTATTACATCCTTAATGACAGACTCCAGCATTTTCCCCCACTACTGATGTCAGGCTAACCAGCCTATAATTCACCATTTTCTCTTCCCTCCCTTCTTGAAGTGTGGAGTTACATTAGCTACCCTCCAGTCCATTGGAACTCTTCCAGAGTCTACAGAATGCTTGAAAATGATCACCAATGCATCTGCCATTTCTGGGGCCACTTCCCTAAGTACTCTGGGATGTAGAGTGTCAGGCCCTGGGGACTTATTTACTGACTAATAAGTATTTCCTTCTTCATGATTGACTCTGTCCCCTAGCATTTCCTGATGATTATTTGTGACCTCCTTATATCCAAAGTATTTGCTCAACTGGTCTGCCGTCTCTTTGTTGTCCATTATGAATTCACCTGATTCTAACTGGCAGTGACCTACATTTGCCTTTACCAGTCTCTTTTTTCTTCACATATCTATTGAAACTTTTATAAGTCAGTTTTTGTGTTTTCTGCAAGCTTACTTTCATTTTCTGTTTCCCCATTCCAAATCTTTTTTGCCCCTCTGAATTTTAAATTTCTCCCAGTCCTCGGCTTTGCTGCTTTTTCTGGCCAATTCATATGCTTCCTCTTTGGCTTTGACACAGTTCCTGATTTCCCCTGTTAACTATGGTTGAGCCACCTTCCCTGTTTTTCTTACACCAGACAGGGATGTACAATTATTGAAGCTCATCCATGTGTTCTTTAAACATCTACCATTGCCTATCCACCGTCAACCCTTTAAGTATCCTTGGCTAGTTTATCCTAGCCAATGCATGCCACGTACCATCAAGTTAGCTTTCTTTAAGTTCAATACCCTAGTTTCAGATTTAATTGCATCACTCTCCATCTTAATGAATTCTATCATATTATGGTCACTCTTTCCCAAAGGATCTTGCACCACAATGTTGCTAATTAATCTTCTGTCACACAATATCCAGTATAAGATAGCTTGCTCTCTACTTAGTTTCTCAACATATTGGTCAAGGAAACCATCCCTCATACAGTCCTCCTCCACCACATTGCAGCCAGGTTGGTTAGTCCAATCATTATGTAGATTGAAGTCACCCATAATAGCTACTGTATCCTTACTGCATGCATCTCTAACTTCCTGTTTGATACAGTCCCCAACATCACAACTACTGTTTGGTGGTTTGTACACAACTCCCACTGACATCTTTTTCCCTTTGTTGTTCTGCAGCTGCACCCATACAGATTCCACATCATCCAGGCTAATGTCCTCCCTTTCTATTGCATTAATCTCTTCCTTAACTAGCAATGCTAATCCACCTCCCTTTCTTGAAAATTGAATAACCTGGATGTTGAGTTCCCATCCTTGGTCATCCTGGAGGCAGATCTGTGTGATCCCAATTACATCATCATATCCATTAATAACTATCTGCACATTAATTCACCCACCCTACTACAAATGCTCCCCACATTGAGACTCAGCCTCTTTTTTCCACATTTGTTGCCCTTTTAGAATCATCAGGAAATGTGGCCCTTTTTGATTTTTGTCTTTGATTTCTCTGCGTTCCACTTTCACTTTTCCCCTTACTGTCCTTCATTTCTGTCCCCAGTTTACTTCCCTCAGGCTTCCTGCATTGGTTACAATCCCCCTGCCATATTAGTTTGAACCCTCCCCAACAGCACTAGCAAACACTCCCCCAAGGACATTGGTTCCAGTCCTGCCCAGGTACAGGCCATCCAGTTTGTACTGGTCCCATCTACCCCAGAACTAATTCCAATGTCACAGGAGTTTGAATCCCCCACCTTGCACCATCCTTCAAGCCACATATTCATCTTAGCTTTCCTATATACCTGTTTTGGAGGGAGATGACCACAGGGCACCCCTGCAATGCCTTCTTACTCTTCCTTTGTCTGTTGGTCACCTATTCCCTATCTTCCTGAACATGCTATCCACAATTCCTTCCACCTCATGGATGCTCCAAAGTAAATCCAACTGCAGCTCCAGAGCTGTCAAACAGTCAGACAGGAGCTGCAGCTGCACACAGTCCCTGCACATGAAGGAGTCAGGGATGTTGGAATGGTCCTGGAATTCCCACATCACACAGGAGGAACATACACAGGTTTGGGATCTCCTGCCACAACTTAACTCTTCAGTTAACAGCAGTAGCAAAGCAAAGGGAAAAGAGAAACTGCTCACCAGTCAGCCACTCACCTGTGACCTCACAGTTAAATTTCCTTCTACCACTCCTTTATTCTTGTGTCTTCAGCAGAAAATTGCTCCTCCTCACTGAAGCCCAGTATTCACTTAAACCTACACTCAATCCTCCAACAGCACCTCCACCAGAAAGCTACCCTTCTCAAAATGGCAGCTTGCCTTCCATTTATTTGCTCCTGGAGCAGTGACTGAGATGACTCCTCCCAGAATCCTTCTCAGCAGCACCCTCTGTTGGTCATGATTTCCACAGCGTGACAGCTGCAGGAGAAATGCAGAGAAAAGAACCTGCTCCACACTGTGTTACCCCTTCACATGACCTTTGACATGAATTTTGTCACTATCCTTCACCTGCTCCATGACGACACAGAAGTTGTGGTAATGACAAATGGCTCCACCACTGACCCATTCCCTGTTCAGACCAGTGTCAAGCAGGGTTGCGTCAGCGCCCCAGCATTGTTCTCGATCTACCTCAATGCAATGCTTCACCTCACTGTTGACAAGCTCCCTGCTGTAATGAAACTAACTTACAGAACCTGTGGGAAATCATTTAACCTCCACCACCTTCAAGTCAAGGCCAAAGTCACCTCAACCAGTGACATCGAGCTGCAGTACGCAGGTAATACTTGTGTGTGCGCAATCTCTGAGGAAGTACTCCAGACCACCATCAGCACATTTACGGAGACATATGAGAGCATGGGTCTCACACTGACCATCTGAAAGACGAAGGTCCTTCATTAACCTGGCCTGACATTGTGGTGTAAACCCCCAATCATCAAAGACCATAGGGAGACCTTAGAGAACATTGACCACTTCCAGTACGTCAGAAGTGTCCTGTTGGCCAAAGCAGCTATTGACGAAGAGATCCAGCATTGCATCCACTGTGCTTATGTAGCTTTCAGCTGCCTGAGGGAAAGGGCGTTCGAGAACAACAACATGAGATCCGACACCAGGATCATGGTATACAGAGCTATAGTGGTTGTGCAGCTATATGGCTTTGGGACTGTCTACAGCAGTGGCCTAAAGGCACAGGAGAAGTACCACCAACATTGCCTGTGCAAGATCCTGTGAATCCAATGGAAAGAAAGATGCACCAATGTCAGTATCCTTGACCAGGCTAACATCCCTGGCATCGAGGGAGTGACTATTTTTGATTGGCTTCGACGGGCTGGGCACATTGTCCACATGACCAATATGAGACTCCCCATCAGGTTCCAGACTTTCAGCTTCAAAATGGCAGGCGAACCCCAGGTGGACAGAGGAAGTGCTTCTGTGATACCCTCAAGGCCACACTGGTGAAGTGAGACATTCCCACAGGAACCTGGGAATCACTGGCCCAAGACTGTCCAAAGTGGAGGAGAAGCATCTGGGAAGGCGTCAAGCACCTCAAGACTTGCCATCAGGGAAGCAAGGCAAAAACAGTAAAAGCAGCGTGCTGCCACGCCAATGCCCCACCCACCCCTTCCCGTGACCACCTTCTAGCCCAAATGTAACAGAGCCTGTGGTAGCCATATTGGTCTGTACAGCCAGCTACAGACTCAACCCTAAGTGTAGAAGAGAGTTATCCTCATTTGCGAGGGACCATCATTAATGATGATGATGCTAACATAGTCATGCTCTTCTTTATGTCCATAACTTTCTCCAAGCCCAAAACATCACCCAACCTTTTGCATGCCTGTTTGCCTATCAATTGTCAGTAATGCCTTCAGTCATTCAGACCCTAGTATTTGAAAGATTCTCTAAACCATTTTGCCTCTCCAGCAGCTTCAGTCTATTTCAGACCCTCCTTAAAGTCCATCTCCAGTGACCATGGTTTTGATCATCCTTTTAAATATCAAATCAAAATGTATTTTTGTCTGATAGGACTTCTGTGTAGTTCCTTGGTACACTTTAATTTTGACCAGTGTTCAGTGTCAGTGTCATAAAGAGAACAGGATAAACAATTAGTGTCAACATAACAGCCCCTTAAAACCAGAATTAAAGATCATTAGGATTGAATTTAGTCTCTAAGTTCCTCTGTTGAATTTTTTTTGTAATGCAATGTGTTGGTGTCTCTGAGAAAATGAGGGAGATTTCTACCAGCTGTTAGAAATTTCTCAGTACTGTGGAAGCAGCTGAAAATCAGCAGGTAATCTGGCACCCTTCAGCATTTGTGTCATTTCGGTCCCAGATGGTAACCTTAAAATGTAGTGCAGTGGCTACTCTTGGCTTTTGGGCATCTCCTAGTGGGTCGGTATACAGCAGCTTTAGCATAGAGCTCAGAGAAGGTCACATATTATCACATACAGAGAATGATGCTTGAATTAGTTCTCCCTGACCCTCTCTGCCAGTATTTACTGAGGAAATATTGATTCAAGTGTTTTAGGTTAGATATCATTATTTACCTTTGCAAATGGGTGTACGGTGTGACCGATGGACTCAGAAAATTGACAGGAACCTTCAGGGCCGACCCTTAACGTCGCTGAGGGGATTTTTCTACCTTACTGTGTTAGAAAACTGCAGGCAACTGAAACAACTCTGTAGTTGTGCCAATCTGTTGGTGTTGAATCTGTCCTATTTATGCAGGAGGCCTAGGAGGATATGTAGTTGGAAAATAGATGAGTGGAACAGTGTATTCCTTAATTGTGATGTATAATAAAGATCTCTCTCTGATTCCGTGAATTTAACTAGTAAATACATCAAATGTAAGCATCTAGAAGACCCAGCTTCAAGTCCTACCCCATGCTGAGTTAGTTGATCTCAGCAGGAGTGGCATTACAACTTGTCTCTAATTCCCTGGATTAAGGAAGGAAAAAATCCGAATAATGTTTCTGCTCCTGATTGTAACCAGTGACACCAGATGGAATGCACATGTGGAA